GCAGTTCTTAATGAATGCGCACTCCCGGAAGAGCTCAAAGCTGCTGCCACCCTGACCATGAGGACAGGAGAGGGTCTCTCAGAGAGGCTGGGGACACCTCCAGAGACAAGTGTGCAGAGGGCTGCAAGCCTGCTCCATGCCTGAACTTCCTTCTGGACAGTGCAGGTAGGATTTCTGGGTCATCTTTCCCCTGGCTCCGCAGATTTCCTTTCTGCAGCCTTACTCTTTGCAAGGGAGGGGAGGGAGAGGTCCTGTAGCAGAGCCTGGACTAGATCCCACCATCCTGGCATGAATCAATCCCTGCCAAAGGGTCTGAGCCTCCTTCCCACAAGACCCCTGTGCACTGTTGCCCTTCGGGTGTGAAAGGGAACTTCCCAACGTGCCCACTACTAGCCCGAGGTAACCAGGAGCCTGCATGCACATGCAGACGCTGCACGCAGCCTTGAGCCAGTCTGGGCAGATCAGCAGTGGGAGCTGGCTGGACTGCTCAAACCCACTGCCCTTCTCTGCTCTGCTCCTCCAGCTGCTCAGCGCATCACCGGCAGCATCGGCAGCAGCTCGAACATTTCAGGATTTACAGGTCTGCACACGTCCCCGAGGGCTCACACAGCCCCGTTGTGCGTGAGAGGGTCTGAAGGGGCATTTTCTCTCTTGCAGCTCATGGGTCTCTCTTGCAATGCCACAGCTGACAAGAACTTCTTCAGCAAACCCTCTTCTTTGGCACAACAGCACACCAGAGTGTAACTTTCATGAGCCAGATGCTGGTTTTCTTACTGCCCATCATTCAGAGAAAACCTTTCACCTCCACGGAAAATGACAGCCAAACCCTGGCCACAGACTTCATCTTCCTGGGCTTCTCCAACCTGGCAGAGCTGCAGAAGCTGCTCTTTGTGGTCTTTTTGCTGCTCTACCTGGTCACTCTGAGCACAAACGCCACAATAATGACCATCATAAGGGTTGAGCCGAGCCTGCACACGCCCATGGACTTCTTCCTCTCTGTCTTGTCCTTTTCGGAGACGCGCTACACCTTCGTCATTGTCCCCAAGATGCTGGTAGACTTGCCAGCAGAGAGGAAGGCCATTTCCTTCCTGGGCTGTGCTGTGCAGATGTACTTCTTCCTCTTCTTGGGGTGCTCCCACTCCTTCCTCCTGGCCGCCATGGGCTACGATCGCTGCGTGGCCATCTGCCAACCTCTGCACTACAACAGCATCATGACTCGGCGAGTGTGTGCTCAGCTGGTGGTCGCTTCTGCTCTCAGTGGCTGGCTGGTTGCCCAGGCTGTTACCACCTTGATATTTTGCTTGCCCTTCCAGGCCTCCAGGAAGCTCAACCATTTCTTCTGTGACATCTCCCCGGTCCTCAAAGTGGCCTTCACTCACACCAATCTCAGCAAGGCCGTTGTCTTCACGCTGGGCATCTTCGTCCTTGTGATCCCGTTGATGTTGATCCTCATTTCGTACCTCTTCATCCTCCGCGCCATCCTGCAGATCGCCTCAGCCGCAGGCAGGGGCAAAGCCTTCTCCACCTGCAGCGCTCACCTGACGGTGGTGGTCGTGCACTACGGCTGTGCCTGCTCCATCTACCTGAGACCCAACACCAGCTACTCATCAGACCAGGATGCATTGATCTCTGTCGCCTACACCATTCTCACCCCGCTGCTCAACCCCATGATTTACAGCCTCAGGAACAAGGATGTCAAAGCGGCTCTTCAAAAAGCCCTCAGAAAAGCCAGACTTCCTCAGCAAGTTTTCCAGTGAAGAGGTTATTCCTCAGTGGCGATTTTCAGCCAACATCTTCCACTTCCAGGGAAACATCACCCCTTTTCCACGCATCCTCTCTAACTCACAAAGAAGCGTTCCTGAATGACATGGCAGCTCATGGGGGCTGACAAGGACCTGACATAAAAATTCTGTAAATTCAAGTCCGGGTGAAAGTAGAAAGCTCGACCTCAGTGAAGGGTACATCCCTCCGGAAGGGCTCAACAGCTTTGGAAACCCAAAATTACCCATTTCTATTTCAGGGATAGGAAAGGTTCTTTGGTGAATTTGAACCTGACCCATTTAGTAAAGAAGAAATGTAGGTGTTGAAATCACTTCAAGGTAAAAATTCTTATTTTTCCAAGAGTTTGCAAGCTCAGGACCATGCTCCTCTTGTGCCTCATGATACCCCTGAGCTCTGGCAATCGTCCGTCTCTATGTCACCGTAGCGCCCGTCAGCAGAGCCTGCAAGGCTGGTGCCTCAGGTTGCATCAGCTTGTCCTTGCCATAGGCTAGGTGTGTCCAGGCGGCCGTGAACCCCCAACGCAGACCGGAGTCCTGAGACAGCTGGAAAGTTCAGGTCCACTGCTTGCTGAGACTGAGAAGACGAGTCCAAAGGGGCCTACCAGAAGGGCTCCTCGGGAAGAGCAGCTCCAGAAGAACGAACTGAGAGCTCTCCCTGCGAGCGGCCATCTCCTCCCAAAGCCCGGTGCCTTCTCGAAAATCAGCGGAGCCAGCTGGGATTAGCCAGACCAGCAAGGCCATCTCCTTCGGGAGGCCACCAAGCAGCGTCCAAGCAACGCCCAGCCGACGAGGATCTCTCCAAGAGAGCTCGCGAGCGCTAATGAAAGAACGAGGCTGCGTTTTTCCGGAAAAAGTGAAAAGGTAGGAGAGACGGAGAAGAAAAAACAATAGGTTTTTTTTTCCCTCCCCCACCTCGATTTCCAGCGGTTTTGGCACTAACGGAGCTACAGCCGTTTGGCCTCCACGGCGTTGCGATTTGCCCGGCAGAGGACGGGCGAGAGGACGCCGTAAAATCCGAAGACCTTCCTGGGCATTTGAAGGGTTTAGGGAGACGGTTTCTAAACCGGACGGTGAAAATCCGGGTCGGGGCAGAAAAAGGACGGCGGAAAGGAGGAGGAACGGGAGCAAACCGGGCGGCGTGGGCGAGACGGGAAGGAGGCAGGTTTCGGGTGGGAGCCGAAGCGGCTCCCCGCCGTTGGCATCATTTCCGGCTTCCTCCGATGTCCCCGTGGGACGCTGGCAGTTACGTCACGACCATTTCACACGTTCTCGTGCGTCCAGTCCCCGATTGTTCTGCTACGGTTATTATTTTGCTGCGGCGTCCCCCGGAAAAGGGTGCAGAAGGGGCAGGAAGGTCCCTGTCACCCTCTTGGGAGCCTCCTCCTGCCCCCATCTGCTCGGGGACCCTTTTGGGA